GAATGGAAAAATTATGATTACAATTTTTTTAATAATACCCAGAAACAAATATTTTTCAGGAGGTTGGTATGAAGCTTTAATTATTAAGACGTATAAGAAGGGTTCCAAAGAGATAAATGCAACAATTACAGTCTGTTTCACTGTTATCTGCAGCAATGAACTTAGATATTCTCAAAAACAGAGTGATTTCAGAGACAGAAAAATATTTAGAAAAAGGCCTATGTGGCTGTAGGATAGCATGTAGCAGCACACATGCAATAACTTTTCTTAAAACATGGAAGAGTGAAAAATTTATACTGACATATTTACAGTTCTTAAACTTATGAAGGCATATGATAGTATATATGAAACAAACTGTGGTATGACTTGGATAGTTACAATGTTAACTGAAAATTAATAAATGTAATATTTACAAGAATAATATCATATATATATAATTTGAGAGATAATTATGACCAAGCCAGTTAAAATTAATATGGGATCATGCAAAGGATGTAGATTATCTCCAGTCTTGCTGAACACATATATTAGTAAAATAATAGAATTACAGAACTTAAAACATTAAAGGAATTCAGATTTCAAAAGAAAGGAGGTATCACTAAACTGACATATTCTGATAGCCAAGTTTTGCATGCAGAATCAGAAGATATTTTACTGATATCGGTTATGGTTCTAAATCAAGACTGCAGTAAAATTTTCAGGAAGAAAAACTAGAGGAATGGGTGTACAAAAAAGGCATTGAAAGAAAACAAAACAAATGACTATGTTATTAAATATTTACCCAAAATTAAATATCTTGGGTGTAAGGAAGCCTGTATGTGTAAAACTGCTTAAATGGAAAAATGGAGATAAATTTTGAAAATAAGGGAAGAGATGCTTTGTTATTACTAGATAATGAAATAGTTAATCCAAATTTACATTTTTGAAGTGAAACTTGTATTGTGAGAAAAAAACCAGTGGGTGGGAGGGTGCAGGAGAAACAGAAGCAGCATATGTATAATATTTCCAAGGTTACAGCTAGGAGTAACTTTTTCAAGTCAAAATATCAAATAAAAGGAAATAAGAGCTCTACTGAATGATGAAAATATGGTAGGAGAATTAGGGTCCATTGTTTATCTTCCATCAAAATTGCAACACTTTTTACATTCTACACTTCAATACTACGGGTTTTGGCCTCAAACGGCCATCTTCAGGTGTTTTTATGTTACAGATATTTTACTAAAACTGTGTTANGAATTTAAATATTGGGCATCCATTATACTTAAAATAACCCTTCTTCATTGGGTTACTTGCATTGTATTCTATTATCAAACTACTGTTTAGAATATATAATTTCCTTAGACTTAAACAAATTTACATTTAGATACATCTGAAACCTTTCAACAATGTGGAAACTAAGAGATTCATAAACTATATTAGTCATAAAACCTGAAGGGATTTCTCTGGACCCTGTAACTGCGAGGGAGTACACCCCTTGTACAGTAGATGAGGAGGTTCATCAGATATGGTGGGTTTGTCTGAACATACATCAAACAAAGAGAAAAAATGCTATTATAAGGGGCAAAAGAAACAGTTTAAAACCCTCTCCTCAAGGAAAACTAGTTTATTAGTTTACTAGTTTACTAGTTTATTAGGCACTAGGCACTTGTCTTTACTAGTGCCTAGTAAACTAGTAAAGATAACACCACACACTGTGGAGGAAGCACACACAAACTAGGAGCATATGGCAAACAGAAACTGAAAGTAGACCATGAACGTGAGGGGCAAGCAGCCGAGAAAAACACCTTGATACATTTACAAAAATGACGACACCTCCGGTGAGGCGAAATAATATGCAAAAGAAATTTTAAAGGATTTTATCTCGTTTTACTTAAAAAGAAGACCACAGCATGTGATTTTAACACGAATTAAAACAGTGCAGCAGTTTTTAACACAGTTTTAGTAAAATATCTGTAACATAAAAACACCTGAAGCTGGCCGTTTAGGGCCAAAACATTTAGTGTTGAAGGGTAGAATGTAAAAAGTGTTGCAATTTTGATGGAAGATAAACAATGGACGCTAATTTGAACAATTGCAACGGGATGCTGAAATACAGAATGGCAGGAGAATTAAAACTAAGTATATCAGTTAAATTTGGTACAGAATGTAAATGCAATGAAAAATAGTAGGCTACCAAAGTTAGCATACGTATACAGTCACAGGGGACAGAGAAATGTAGAGAGACCCAGAAACAGGTGGAAAGATGAGTTTTAAAATTCGTGAACATAAGAACGGGTTTGTAGCACAAAATTCTTAAATCAGAAGGAGGAGGAGCAGAAGGAAGATCAGGAAGAGGAGGAGGAAGGAAGGAAGGAAGGGAGGGAGGAAAGGAAGGAAGGAAGGAAGAAATAACTTGATAGGCCTAGGTGTAGAGGAGAGAATAATAATAACATCGAGAATGCTGTCTTCTGAAATGTGATGTGTAGCAGAAAGCAGTAAGTGAGCTGACTGCTTCTTGCTAATTGCTAACTTTGGCATACTCTTCATCTCTGAAGATGGAGGCAGTACATTCCTCTGACATGTCAGTGAACTTATAACTGGACTGCACAGCATCGAATACAGAAGAAAGCAGCACTCTTTATAACACCACCATCAAACCAACAATAATAAAATTTGTTGTGAAGAAAGTAGGGTGTAGACTGCATTCAAAATGGTTCAGGTTAGGGTTCAGTGGCAAACTCTTGTGTACCGAGTTTTTAATTTTCTCGAGAAGAATTCCATATATGTATAAAATTACTAGGGCCCGGATTTTTTGAAAATGCATATTTTGAGGTTTTTTGGTAAACATAAGAGCATATTTCTGTATATATGTGTTTGGACATCCCTTGTCAGTTGCTATTCTCAATTTCCTGAGTAAGGGCACTTTTTTACCACTTACAATACAAGCAGGTAGCTTGGCTATTTCAGAAGGGAGGGGGTGGGATTTTCCTCTATTCCTTTGACCACCACAGCAGACAGTAGCATCAGAGGCTTTTTTTATTGCTAGTGGGGTGGGACTAAGTCGCTTGTACTGTCGCTACTTCTGGCCTCTTGTACCAGCCCCAGATGATAGGTGAGGGTGATTGTGGAGCAATTGGTGGAATGAAGATTGACAGGGGAAACCAAAGTACTCGGAGAAGACCTGCCCCAACGCCTCTTTGTCCACCACAAATCCCATTTGACGAGACCCGGGATCGAACCCGGGCCGCCGCGGTGGGAAGCCAGCGACTAACCGCTTGAGCTATGGCGCGGCTCAGCATCAGAGAGTTGGTCTTGAGAAAAGTCTCTTCAGTTAATGTGTTACCTTTTTCTTTAATAGTCTGCATCAAAAAAGTGTTCGTGTGCTGAAAATGCCTAAAGAAAAGTGCAGCAGTAGATATTTAAAAATCGGTGGATGTCGTGTAATTACAACTGTAATTCTTAGTTGTGACTGTAACTAGGACGATCTCGACATCCGCATGGGAATGTATTCTCGACGGGATTTATGGAAGGTGAATAAATGAATGAATGTGACTATTCAACAGACGGTGCCGTCGTGTACTGTCAAGTTTGCGCAAATGACGTAAAATGTGAAAAGAAATTTCAACTTGAACAAAACTCAAAAGCGACTGCACATATTACGGCAAAGAAGGGGAAGAAGAACAGCATACCACAACTACTTCTTACACAGGTCAAACCCAAGTCCTCTGTTAATACATTTTCATCCGATCTTTGTAAACTTTGTCAGGGGTGGGCCATAAAAACCGGCCCCCACACTGCGACCTTCAATGATATACTGTGCTTTTTGTTAGGCTTTAGTATGCAGCAACATTCCATCGAATAAATTAAGCAATCCAGCTCTGCGATCATTTCTGGAGAAATATCGTGTAATTAAAAAAATTCCAAATTAATCAACTCTTAGAAGAAAATTATCTACCTTTGCTGTATGAATCTACTCTGGAGTCAATCCGTTCTGACATCGGAGGGAATTGTGTCTGGACGGTCTGGATCGGTCTGGATATCGGTGCATGAGACAGCCGATTTATGTGGCCGATACATAGCAAATTTCGTAGTTGGTAAGCTACATCCAGACGAACTCAGCAAACGTCTTCTTGCTTACAAAGTACTAGAGAAAACCAACCATAGCACGATAGCAAGATTTGTAAATGATTCTCTGTGACTACTATGGCCATCTGAAACTGAGAATAATTGTTGTAAGGTACTTGTATTACTCACAGATGGCAGCAAGGGCCCTACAAGTATTTTATCCAAATCTTATACACGTAACCTGTTTAGCGCATGGATTACACCGTATTGCAGAAAAAATACGCGCGCAGATTCCAGCTGTTAACGATTTAATTGCAAGCGGGAAAAAACTGTTTCTGAAAGTACCAGCTCGTGTCCAGTTCTACAAAGATTGTCTACTTCAGGTTCCTCTGTCACCTTAACATGTCCTAACTAGGTGGGGGACATGGTTATCCGCAGTTTCGGTTTATCAGGAGAATTTGAATCGATTAAAAGAAGTGGTTACAAAACTTGAAGATAAGTATGCATGTGTCGGTGAAGCAAAAGTGGTGTTTGAAAGTGATACTGTTTATCAAGATGTGAATTTTATCCATGCACATTTTTCTACAGTTTCAAAAGCCATTGAGAGCTTAGAATCTTATGGTGCACTCCTTCACGACTCACTTGAACTCGTTCAGAAAGCAACTAGTTCACTGAATTCCGCTCCATGGAGAAAAGATTAAATGCAAGTTAGAAATGTCGTTGAACTCGAACCCAGGACTAAAAAAGATTTAGTCAATTAGTACTTGAGTGGAATTATGGTATCTTTGCCAGATGAATGTTCCGAACCTTCGGCGCCAGTGTATAAATACCGCCCAAGCACGTCAGTTGGTGTAGAAAGATCATTCTCGGCCTATAAACTCATTTTGATGGACAATAGACGTAGTTTGTCTCCAGAAAACATTGAAAAACTTCTGGTTGCCTATTGTGATGCTACCTTCTGCAGTGAATGATACGTGTAAATAGGTGAGTCTGAATAAAGTGACCTGTTTCTTAAGTGCATATTTTAAGTGCTTTTAGGGCATGAAGATCCAGGCCCTATTAATTACTGATATATAACTCATTTTCTCTAACATGAAGGTCATTTGTGAGAGACTTAAGTCAACCCTGTTTTAAAATACATTGTACTGTATACTGGATGTTAACTGTTTCACAACAGCAAATGTTCACAGTGGTAGAACCCATTAAATGAATTTTTAAAGTATGTGTGTCTAGTCCCTTAATTTGCCTGGATGACCTTTATGAAGGTAGAAAAATGAGAAGAGGTACTAATTTTTAATACTGAAAATATATTTATGGTCTCATATTACTTAATATCCAGTCAACATAGAAAGCAACTTTTGTGTACACACCAGGAATCCCTTTGATACCACAGGATCGAGGTCCAAATGAGACAATTCCGTATTGAACGAATCGTGGCCTTAAATTGACCTCACCCTTGAATATAAGAGGTCCTCCACTGTCACCACCACATGAATCTCGAGCATTTACGCCACCAGCACAAATTTGACTTGAAGTTATCCTTACAGGTCGCCTATATGAAGCAGAACTGCGGCTGTAGATATTAGCACATTGCTCCTGTGGCATAACGGGCACATCAACTTCGAGCAACACAGAACTAGAAATTCCTGTAAGTGAAAATATTTGCTGTGGATTATTATGCAAGCTCTTTATTACTATAATTTTATGAAGTTATGAAAACATATGAAGAAATGCTATTTGATACTGCATGTTTATAATTTGATATTGTTTATAAATCTTACATTTTCACTTCTTATGAAGGAAATACTTGGTATTAAGATATATTTCACAGTAAAAAGCAAAGTCGTCCTTGTGCTTAACTAATTACGTACTACACCAGGGAGGTGTATGGGAGTGGATGTATAGATCCACTTTGGCGCTAGCTAGGGGTTAGTGGTGAGCTTCAAGTCCTGTATGCTTTACAGCCAGGGAAAGAGCCCGTGGTACAAATTGGATAGGAGTTTGGGTGGACATCAGACCCGGCCTGGATGACGTGGAGAGGAGAAAATTCTTGACTTTACTGGGACTCAATCTCCACCCCTTGGTCATCCAGCCTGTAGCCATTTGCTATACCAACTGCGCTATCCTGGCTGTATATTTTCATATATAAAGACTTATATAGACTAACAAACTTCAGTGACTTCTTATGCTTGCAACAAGCATTAACTAAGATTATTCACAAATCTTGACTTAACTGCTAATGAGAGTTCAAAACTCAAATTTCTCCTACTTAAATATTAAATCTCCTAATCACTTTTAGGAATCGGGTGTTGTGCCTCAAAGTATTAAAAAACATAAGTGTGTGTGTCTTTACAGATTACAGATGCATGATCAGTTTTGCTTAAACTAGGCATTCTTAACAATTTATTAACCTGTTCTAAATATTTATTTATTTATTTCGTCTCTATAGATCATTGTTACATGATATAGGACAAGTCAGTTACTGTACAATGGCCGATTACAATAAGAGAATAAAGTTACAGTACTTAAAATTGTTTACGATAGATTACAGTAGACTACAATAGTTAAGATTTCATATAGTGTTAGGTGGAATCCATATTAGGTTCCCTCGGCACCTCGGCTTCCATATGTCCTATTGCACCTGTACGGGTGATAATGCTTATGGAGAATTTGATGGAATGAGGATTGACAAGGGAAGCCAAAATACTTGGGGGGAAAACCTGCCCCAGCGCCACTTTGTCCATCACAAATCCCACTTGACTAGACTGCAGTGGTGGGAAGCCAGCGACTAACTGATTAAGCTATGGCATGCAGGCATGCACGCACAAACACATACTCACTCTCTTTCACTTTCACTCCCTTCTAGACTGAAATGTGTTGGTTCTTAAATATTAAGGATAAGGAATTTTCACTGAATCATTATTTTATCAAATGAGACTAGATAATGTCACCATCAAACAGAAAATATGTGGTTATTTCAGCTTTTGTCATTCCCCAATTTCAACAAGAGGCATTTTGTCCTATTTTATGAGATTTTTTAGTGCTAAAGAAAAATCTCTAAATGAAACATTCTTGATTTCTGTTATCACCTTTTTCAGTCGTTCCCCATCCGGATACAATCAAATTGTGACCATCCAGATTTCGTTTCTGGTCACCTCCCAAGGGAAGGCAGATTGGTTTTATAGAATCTGCAATATAATTTACACAAATATTTTATTCTTAAATTATATACAGATCTATGATATATTTATATTCCAGTTGATTGGGAAAGTGATTACTAGTAACTTGTTGTTTTGATTATTACACTATTTTATCACTGAATTATTTTGCAATGAGGATATTGAACACACAGCTTTAATAACAGGGTCTTTCTTGAATACTTTGTAGCTTCCATGAAACATTATGTAGCACAGAATTGAGCATTCACTAAAGTTATTTAGCAAGTTATAGTTTCGTAATCATTTCATTATGTTAGATTGTTTCCGGGTGCAGTATTTACATATTTAGTTCAGTTACATACAATCATTTTATCCGAGGTTTGGTTCTTCAGTAACCGGCATTGTGGATTCTGAACACTGAATTATTACCTTTCCTCACACATATTGAAACTATTGATAATTTGAGGTTGCGAAGTCATGGATGCAATACTGTGCTATATACAGTAAAACTTGGTTATAGCAACATTGGTTTCTGCGACACCTTGTCTATTGCGTCAAATATTCAATGGTACGAACTAATTCTTCATAAAGCAACTGTTTTTATACCTTGCTTAGTACGACGTGCACAAATGCATCAACCTCGTATGTAACGTCATTTTCATTCCTGAATTTCTCTGATATCATGGGAAAGTTCGATGTGTCTGCCCACCCTCACTTTCTCTACTTGCTGACATGACTGTCCTGGAAGAATAAGACCTCGGGCTGCAAGAGGAGCGTGGGTTTTATGCGAAAACAAGGGTGTGGGGTGTGACTGCGTGAATAGTGCAAGAGGACGCTACAGGTTGTTAACTGCATTTCTTTCCTAGAACTTCGTCTAACAGGACCTCACATTGTCTACTTACCCTATAGTGTTCCTGCCTAAACCCAGAGAAGTGCAGTAGCGAAAACATGGCAATGAAAAGGAAAGTTTTAAGCATTGAAGAGAAAGTTAAAGTGATTCGTGAAATAGAATATGGAAATCTACTGTAATTTGGTGAGTAGGCCTACCTTTAATATACAGTATTAGTGCGGTGTGTATTGTCAGTGAAAAGCGCTGTAATATGTCTTTGATATTACACATTTGGGCAATTCCACGTTAATGTTACGTTAGTCTGTACTTA